TAACTGATAGAGATATTTCAATACAAATTCAAAACTGTATTTTGTCCCATTTATAAGATGACACATTTTTTCAGTGCAAACACTTAACCCAGTTGGATCTAGCAACCTAAACATTTCCTTATTTAATTTCTGAAAGGAAACTAAGTATAACCAACTTTGCTACATAGCACTTTTTATATTCTCAATCAGCTTTCGCACATTTTCTCACTTTCAGGAAAGACTGTGACCAATTTTAAATAATTTGAAAATCTTCCTCATCATTGTTATATTTATAAACCAATGTATATCTTAAAATATTCCAAATACATGCATTCTACAAAAAGCACAAGGATAAGTTTATCCACATATTTTAGTGTAAATTTATCATGAATTAAAGGAAAACATTAATGGTGATAAAATATAATAGATATTTAAATATTCAACAATGTAGCTATGTTTATATCCAAAATTATGACATATCACAAATATGAGCATCCAAAAAGGAGCATATAAGTAACAAATATACAATTTTAATGAAAAATTTTACTTTCCCTTGGTTATTGACATGGCCTTGCTTAAAAAGATTTGGTGATTAGGCATAGGAAACTGAAATAAAGCTATGATAATATGAAAATAACAACTTCATCTAATACTTCTTATAAAAATTAGACCTCATTGCTAATGACACTAATTAACAATAATTATTCAGCTTTCACATCACTTCATTACAGTACACTAGTCACACATAAATTAGTAAACACTGATTCGTAAACTAAATTTCCTAAATCAAAATCAAAGTTTGACTGGCTGAAATGTAATTTAGCATAGTATGTCAAAAGCAGGGACTCTGAGGGAGTTAGACTTCCTGGCTTAAATATAGGTTTTGCCACTTACTCTAATGGCAATTTTTTGCGAGTTACTGACTTTTGTGTCTCAATTTCCTCATCTAATCTACAAAAGGGGAATAACAGGATCTACCTTACCGGGTTGTGTGAAGGTTAAATGAAATGGTATATGGGAGTACTCAGGCAGTGCCTGGTACACATTATGCTCTATACAAGCATTCACTATTATTATCAGTATTATTAAAGCATCTCTGAAGTTGTAATATATTGTTAGCACTATTTACCTTTTAAGAATATTTCTCCAATTTCCTAAAAAACTTAAATGCACCAGGGAAACAATATTTGAAGGAACCCTGTGTCAGCTGAATAAAGATCTATTACTAATACATATGTTTACATATTAGGTCTCTTTAAAGTCAGATTAACGTGAGGCTAGAACTGGGAACATGATTCTTTCACAGCTCCTAACTTCAAAATGCTAAATAGCCAAATGATGCCATTTCACATAGACAACTATGCCCTCATCTAATGCAGCAATGAATGAATAGTTGTTGCTATGTGCCCCAAAAGCTCCCAGGAAAAGAAGCAAATCTCACTGAAAAAATTATTAGTTCAGTTTTGGACATACTAAGTTTGAGGTGTTCATAGAATACTTAAGAGGTGTTCCGGGAAGAAGTCAGAAGTACAGACCTCAGGAAGATTACTCTCAGAACTCTTTGTACTATCATGAAATTAATTTTTCACATCCTATTACACGACAGTTATGTGTCTCCACAAACCTTCTCTATCGCTACACTATTTTGAGGGCATCTAGGTCCTGCCATATAAGGGATCAATAAATGTTGATTTTTAAAAATGCAAAACTTGCAGAACTATACAGTTAAGAGAGTGAATTTTATCATATACTAAAAAAACTGATTAAAACAATTTCTTTTCAATCTGTGAATTATAAATAAGGATGAAATTTTCATTTGGAAGAATTCTTACAAAATATAAGATGTAAACACAAAATCATTTTTTAATTCAGTCACATAAGAATTACTAAATGCTACCAAGCAGTAAAACCTGGAATCATCACCAGGCCAAAAACGTGAAAAAGTACAGTAAAATAAAGAAGAGAAAGCTCAATGAAGAACTCCTTGATATGCATTTAAATTAACCAAAATTCTTAAGTTTATTAAAATACCTTCAATGTGGATTGAAGAGATTTCACTTCGTAATTTACAGTACTTGAGTTCAATAACTTAAAAATGAAAAGCCTCTGGACTCTCCCAGCACACATTATTCAAAGAGCTGTGTTAAAAAGCATGTAGCAAATGTGCTGAGTTATATGCACTAGGTAAGGGAAAGCTGTGTCATCCCCAACGCACCAGCAACTGTCTGTCTGCTAATCCTTTAGTTTAAAATGTGTAGAAACACCTTCTAAAGAATGCTTCACTGTACTATTTACAACCCAAACTTAAAATATGGTCCTTGATGGAACGGACCATATAGTAGTACAGACCAGCTGCCAGCTCTATATTTAATAGCAGATCATGACAATTTTGTTTGTGCTTGACAACTAGACACCTTTCAGTGAAACTATTCCCTGGAAATGACACTACAATATTGTTAGTTATTTAGAGGGCAGGGAGCCAAGAGAAAAAGCGCTCATTAATGGTGAATGGGTGGGAAAGACAGTAACAGTAGAGGATTAAAAAATGGTAATACAATATACACAGGGTTAATAGGACTGTGAAATGGGAGTGGGGGGATATACAGAATGGAACTTCTATAACACAAAATAAACATGAAGATTTAAGTCTGCACTTCACATTTGAAATAAGCAAGAATAAATGTATATTGCTTCTTATATAATCAAAAGCCTGAAAACCTTATACTGATAGAAAATATTGGTAAATTTAAAAGGATTCCCCCAATTTGGGCCCTTTTTTCCTGTTCTATGAAGCAATTCATAAGGGGAAAAAAATAACTTCAGACTATAAATGATGAATGTAACTACTAGGAGTGGTCTCTCTAAGAGGTCTGAAATAGAAGGAAAATGTACATTTCTTCCAAAGTTGTAGCCAACAATAACTTTTGCATTCTGAATCCAGCTTAAGCATATTAGTTGAGAAGATGTTTGCAAAAGTATTTAATAAGAAAGTGCTGAATTTAGCTTTTATTTTTTTTCTGTTTTAAGTGGCCTGCAGTCTATCAAATGCACTAAGAAGAACCTCTCCTAAGTGTAAATGACCAAAGGAAATAAAGTTTTCTTCTTATAGAGAGCTGTTTCCATAGATCAGGTAAACTTTTTCTGTAAAGGGCCATATAGTAAATATTTTCAGCTTTACAGGCCATATGGTCTCTGTCACAAATACTCAGCTCTGTCATGTAGCATGAAAGCAGCGACAGGTAACAGATAAATGAGTATGGATGGAGTCCAATAAAATCTCATTTTCAACAACAGGCAGCCAGTCCATGGGACCATGACCATAGTTTGCTGACCTATGCTATAGAGCTTGTTTTTTTTACCTACGACAAATATATTGTTTTAATAAATACCACCAACTTTGAAATATGATGTCTCGGATTTGCTTTAAAATATTTTACAAAAGAAAGGTGGAGAGTAGGTTAAATAAGACTAGCAAAACACAATTATTATTAAGGTTGGATGACGGATGCATGGAGTTCATTATCCTATTCTCTGTAATTTCTTGAGTTTGAAATTAAAAGCTTTTAAAAATGCAAAGTAAATCAATGAACCAGCTCTACAGGAAAATGAATTTCTTCACTTTACTGCAAACCTTCTAAAGCACATTTATTATTTTGAAACATAATTAACATTATGCAACATAAAAAATTCTTAATGTAAAGCAACAAAACTAAAATGAAAAAGCTTATTATATAAAAGTGTATACCAGCATGAACCCTTCACATTTTCCATAATTTAAAACACAGGCTCCCCTCATATAACTCCTAAATTAATATATTAAATTTATTCTCATCTTATCTAACAAAATGTTACTGATTTTTGGTTTAAGAATATAATTATTTTTATAGGGCACATGTTATTTATGTTAACATATAATAGGTTTACTATTTTTCAAATAAATTAATGTTTATTCCTCAGTTCTAAACTTTAAGCAATTAAGTATTCATGGATACAACCTACCTAAATAAATGCTGTTTAAAGTCTTCAACAACTAAGAATGTAAAAGGATCCTCAAACCAAAAAGCTTGAGAACCTAAGATCTAAACGTTCTCAATGTTGTCTAAAGTCTGTTTACCAAGTGTATGAACAGCATATGTATTTGAACAATAATCATCACACTGTAAAGTTAATCCACTATGAGGACTATCAATATACACCCACAAGAGGAAGATACTTAAACTGTCAACAGAAACATTCTTTTCAACTTGCCCTGTATGTCATAAATAATGTATCCACAGGAAAAGGAGAGCTCTAATGTGTTGTCCCATTTATGCAGGTAACTGTCTGCTGAAACAGTAATAAAGAAAAACGAATATATGCCAGCAGACATCTCTAATAAATGCGTTATCTCCTGTCAAATCAAGATATGCCATGTCACTCAGTGGAAGAAGCCAGAAATCAAGCTAAATAGAGCCTGAGGAAAGAAATCTTAAAGATTGTGCAATTTCTCAAAAACAACAAATGTGTTTTTTAAATGTTCTAAGTTTTTTCTCAACATTCAGCAATACAGTGATTTCAAATTATATCAAAACTAAAAAGTAATTTAAATTAGGCTCATGGAATTCTTATGGTATTTGTGAAAAACTGAGAACCTCTCTGTGAAAACATCTGAACTATAACCAATCTCAAAATTCTCTAAATCTAAAACTAAAATAGTAATAAACAATCTGTAACACAGATTTAAACAAATAACTACAGCAAAAATATCATGTGATTGTTCATTCTTTTATAAAGATAAACCAATATTTATTTTTCAAATACAAAGCTGTAGCCAACAATAACTTTTGCATTTTGTATTCTAGCATTTTTAACCACTTTTGCCCCTTTTGCATATGGCTATTTAAACTATTATCAGACTATTTCATTTTTACTTAATTAAGTATACATTTCCAAGTTAGTTTTAGAAATTTTATAATTTTTGTTGTCTTTTATCAACCTGAATAAACTTAAAATAGTAATGTGTGATGCAGACACATACTTACATCATACTCTGTAACTCTGCTGCAAAGCTTATAGACTTCCCTGTACTTCTTCCACTACTTGAAGTAGCAGTAGACATTGGGCTGGCTGCAGTATTATTCATCTAAACAAAAAAGAAATAAAGCTTACAAAATGTATTTAACTATAAATAAGTGCATGGAAAATGGAAGCAATTATAAATTACTTCAAAAAGAATAGAAAATTTTAAATTTCTAATTTGTTCATAAATCTGACTTGTCCATACTTAATGTTCTTTATTAAAATGAAATAGTAAAGAGGGGGCACCTGGGTGGTGCAGTCAGTTAAGCATCCGACTCTTGGTTTCCACTGAAGTCGTGATCTCAGGGTCCTGGGATCAAGCCCCGCCTAGGACTCTGCTCTCAGCATGGGGTCTACTTGGGATTCTCTCTCCATCTCCCTTTGCCCCTCCCCCTACCCACCACACTCACATGCGCCCTCTCTCTCTCAAATAAATCTTTAAAATGAAGCAGAAAAGAGGAAAAAACTGCTTAGTCAAATACGATATCAAATACGATATCAAAAAAAAAGTGCTCAATAAATGTTAGCTATTATTTCCTATGTCCATATAAATTTTGCAATATAATTTTCCTTTAAAATGATCTGCAGATTTGAATATATGATACAATAAAGCAGTACTGCAAACTTTAGGTATACTGTAGTAAAGTTTAGGAGAAGTCAGGAGTCAGACTGCCTAGGTTCAAATCCCAGTTCTGCTACTTTACTGGGACTTTGGGCAAATTACTTAACTTCTTTGTGCTTCAGTTCCTTCACCTTTAAAATGGAAATGATAATCCCACATTCTTAGGGTTGTTGTGAACATTCAATGAACTAACATGTACAAAGCATTCAGAACAGCTCTTAGCACACAGTAAGCATACGATGTTAATTATTATTATTGTACACAGACCTTAAGAATTCTCCCTCTATTGATCAGCTAAAAGCTTTTTTATGACAAATTTAGGTTACTCTTTTTTCACACTCACAAGTCTAAGAAACTTGAATATTTTCACTAAAAGACCTTAATGCACTTCAACAAATATTAAATACTTAGTTTCCTTATAAAATACTTTTTAGTACTGACATCACTACTGCTAGCATTCATCCTCGCTCAAAATCTGTCAATCTTTGACTCCTACTCCTATACCCTATAATTTGTAAAAAAACAAAACAAAACACAAAAAAACAAATTCTACTTTATGTTCTTACATCCTCCCCATCTTGTTCTACTGTTATGGCCCTCTCTATAAGCACTACTTATAGCTTCTCTCTTTCCATCTCAGTTCATTCTTCACCTTGCTGCGAAATTTATCTTCTTAATACATCCTCTAACCTGACAGCTCCTGTGGGCAACGGAGGCTAAAACTGATATAGGAAACCTGAACCAGGGTTATTCACCAAGCTCTGAGATGGAAGGACTGGGCTCCATGAAGACAACTGGAAAAAACAAAACTATATATTTGTTATAATATAACTACTATAAACCACTACTATAAACCACTGCCTGAGATAGGCAATATACGAAGCTTTTGAGAGAAGGCAACAAGACAGAGGTCTAAGATGAGCAGCATGCTAGCTGACTGGCTAGATCTGGAATAATCCCAATATCCTTCTGTGGCAAGGCCAACTATCGCCAATATAAGCCCTGGTCTAGTATGAGATCCCTAAGGGCCAGGCCAAATGAAGGAGCAAAGAAGGAAAAACCTTTTACTCAAACTGAGCCTGAAAACCAAAATTCTAAAACACATAAAGAAGCTAATGCTATGAAAGACCATCGACTTTTTTTAAGCCTCCGTTTATTTCTACACAGACTTTTAAAATAGGTACTTTTTTCTACAAATAATATAGGAAAAGAAGCATCACCACTAGAACTCAGGTTAAAAAAAAAAAAAAAATCACATCACCAAATCCAAGATTGGGGAAAGACAGACAGGAACCCAGTGACTTCTAGGAACAGTCCTACAGAATCAGGACAGTGATAAAAAAGGAACCTGGCTCTCTCAAGGACCTTCGAAACGGTTTCCCTTGTCCCACCAGAACACTGGCAAAGATATGATGTCCCAGAGAAAACGTTAAAGTCAAAGTTTATGTATTAACCCCAGCCTCCAAAAACAGTTATGATTTAAGTTGACTCACATCAGACTGGAAGACGTGCCAGGCTATGGCACGATCCTGTGGCCTAATGTCCCGTGACACACTGCTGGAGCAATGTGCCCCCTTTTTCACTTTGCAAATCCAGTCACCCTGCTTTAACACTCTTTGAAGAGGAGACACTTCCGAAAGTAAATTCTTATTAAAACCACAGCTCTCTTCAGTTGTCCCCCTACTGCAAATGTTTCGTATCAAGAGTATTTATTGGTAAGAGGTAAAAGGTCCCAATCCTAGTTTATTATAACCACGATCATCCTTTCACAGTCAACTTATTTAATTTTTAAATCAAACAGGTGAATAACATTTTTCTGACATGATGAGCTGATAGCTCATTAGAATCTTTAAAATAATTATTTCCCATACCCGCATTTTGTTTGATTTAGATAATTAACTTCTTTAGACATAACTTCTTTACACATCAAAGTCCTATCAACCCAATGCTCTATTTCCTTTCTCCTAGACATTTTTAAAAAAAAAAGTCAGTTAAAAGCAGAAGCACTCAAGTCAATTTTCTCTAATAAATACAGTTAACATGGAACTGAAAACCTACTGTAATCTTCTCAATGGGTTAATGTCCTGCAGTTGTTTTAGTTTTCAATTGAAATGCAGCTGTTTGCCATATTTTACAAAATGAATTCAGATGTGCAGATGGAGACCTAGATTATTTCAACATGCCACAGTTTAAATGTGAACCCAAAGAGTGAGTTCATCTCTGATTAATACTTATATTTACACCTGACTATTAAGTCAAGCTCCAATACTGTCACACCTGTAAAATCCTATTCCAGAGTAGAAAAAGTGACATCTTTTATTTTAAAACGATGGCATTTAAGGATATACCCTTTCCCTCAGAAAATACTATAACAACAAAAAAAATTTTTTAATTGTAGTAAAGTTATACATTACAAATGTGAATTAAACTGGGTTTCTAATTATAGCTCACATTTTTGGTGCTAAATGACCAAAGAAGAAATAACATGAAACACCTTTGGCTTAAAATACCTCAAAGAGTTGAAAACTTTATTACTAGTTATAGAACCATCAAAACAACATAAATATCTGGATTGTGAAATCCATCAGTCTACCCATTTATTAAGACAGTGGAATGTTTTATCATTTCTTTTATTTATTTATTTATTTATTTATTTATTTATTTATTTATTTATTTGACAGAGAGAGACAGCGAGAGAGGGAACACAAGCAGGGGGAGTGGGAGAGGGAGAAGCAGGCTTCCTGCGGAGTGGGGAGCCTGATGCGGGGCTCGATCCCAGGACCCTGGGATCATGACCTGAGCCAAAGGCAGACACTTAATGACTGAGCCACTGAGGCACCCAGTTTTATCATTTCTTCTATTACATCACTGCTGAGGAAAATTAATTCAGCAGACCTATGTACTGATTCTGAGCATACACAGTTGCAATTCCAATCACGCATAAGCTGAACATCCTACATCATATAAATTAATAGAAAACTGTTACAATCAGAACATTCTCATTTTCATAGAACTCCAAAGGCAGGAAGCAATTATGGTTAAGCCAACACTATTATACACTGCATTCTGGTTCTGTTGTTTAAAAAAAAAAACCAAAAAACTCAAGTTACATTATGATGTAAATTTCTCCTGCTGTGAAAAATAATGCCAAATGATCATTCAATCACTGAGAATGTAAAAAATTTTAAAAATTAAGTGTACAAAATGGTAAAACTTCTACACCTAGTATTTGGGATAACACAATGGTAATTCCAATATATTTATATATGCCCCATTTCAAGTGGACTTCAGAAGGTATAAAGCTCAAGAGTCCATACAATTACCTGCTAAAAGAGAAGCAACATACCATGAATAAACCCAAGAACAGATGATTCACATAATTTATAACTGTTTCAAAATCAACAGCAATTTTTCTGAAACTGCTAACTGTATTTTCATAACTAAAAATCATTTGTATTCACTTACCCCATATTAAATGAGTTCAGAACCTAAAATAAGCTGCATCAATCATAGCACTTCTCACACTACAGTGTTAACTATTTCATTGTCCTCGAACTGCTAACTGCTTAATGACAGGACACTGTTTATTCTGTAACTTTAATACCTAATATGCTGCCTACCACTGCTGATTCTCAGTAAATGTTGCGTGAATGATCAAATTACTGTATGGTGTAACAAGGAATACAAAGATAAGAAAGACATATTTATGCCATTTAGTAGCTTATAGCCTACTGAAGTTAACAGATCAGATATATTCAATGGAATGAGTTTAGAGATAATGCCCAAGATACTATGAGACAAGAGGAGGAGCTAAGACCCAGTCAATTATTATGGGCAAACTGTCCTGAAATTTAATACTTGTTACAATCTGAAAATAAAGCATATTTAACTGCATTAAACAACAACAAAAAACAGGTAAGTGAATAGCACATCTGAACTATCCATAGGCCACTGGATTACTATAAAATCAAAGTGCAGAAGTGAAAGTATGTTGAAAATTATGAAGCACCATAAAAAGCAATATGATAATAAACATTCTTCCTTACCATTCATTGAGCAATTATTTTTCTTAAAGACTACTGGAACAGGAATAAGTACTTCCTAACCAAAATCACTTTGATTCTAATAAGTATGGATAAGAAGCTACAAGTTTTCACAAGGAACACCCAATGATCAAAATGGCAAGTTATTAGCTATAAGTAGAGAATCACCTTTTTAATATAATTATCAAAGGCTTCATATTCATAGACAGAAAAACTCTTCTCTGTAATATATTATACTATTTCCTGGTATATTTTCCCCCACCAAACCTGCTTCCCTGTCCAACATTCCCAGTTCTATTAAGAGCAACATCACTCCTCAGTCACAGAAGTCCAAAAAAATCCAAGGCATTTTTGATTCACCAGCTCCTTTCCTGACGACATCCATGCAATCTGCTCCTG